AAAGAGTCGCGCTTTGAAGGGGTGCGATGACTCGTCTGACGTCTCTTCCGAATGAAACTCTCTCGCGACACCACATCCCGTGGATATGTAATCCATAATTTTGCCCGCGAGAGAACGGATAAAAGACGAAAAAACAAAAAAAACAGCAAAGAGAGAGACAGAGAGGAAAGGAAAGAAGAGGTTAGATAGATAGACGGATGGGGAGAGTTCGTCGATGATGACTGAAATGAAAACGAGATAGGACGAGTGATAGACGACTTTGTTATTAATCAAAAGACGGACGGAGATCGTACTTTAAGCGAATCAAAAGCGTGTTCGACGTTCCTCAATCAAAAAAAAAAAAATGAAAGAAAAAGGGAGAAAGATCGATGATTAAAGTGCGACGCGCGAAGTGCTCGAAACGCGGGAGTGAAGAAACGGCACAATCAAACCTGCCCAACATCGTGTAGAGTTTAGATGTTTTGCGATGAAAATAGTGTCTACCGTTAATCCGTCGCGCGATTGTGTCGACCGGCTAAAAGAGTGGCTTTTCCATGTGAGAGAGAGAGAGAGAGGGGGGGAGGGGGGAGGAAGAAAAAGAGAGAGAGAGAGAGAGAGAGAGAGAGAGAAAAAGAGAAAAAGAGAGGCAAGCCCGACAATAAAAATCGCCACAATTCCAATGTTTTCTATCGCGATGAGTGATTCCGATACAGTGATTCGTACGTAATCGAAATTAAGAGTGATAGTCGTGTTGCCGCTACGTGCATTTTGTTGGCTGCGTTTTGTGTCGCCTCGCTTTTCCGCGATTTGCAGGTCTTCAGAGAGAGTGTTTCACGATGATTCAAAACGCAGACTATCGTTCTGAGTTTTGTTTCGTAAAGTTTTGCCAAAAATTACACTAGAGGGTGTGCCTCGCGCTGGGTTAATCATCCGAATTTGTTCTCATTGCTTATAATATCGTCGTTATATTAACGTTATTATCATTACCGGTGTGTTACATCAACATATTCCATGATGCAATCAGAGCATCATATCAGAAATATTCACGTTCACATATATACGTTCAGATTTTTTCTTTACCTGCACATAACTCTCTTACTGAATGCATTTAGCTTACCCCAAATTTTCTACTTTACTGTATCTTTAATTTAGTGCAACACGTGTTTGATATCCTTATTTTAATTGAGTTCTTATACAAATTATCATGCATGATCGCACGTTATGTAAACACGACCGCGATTACTTCCGGTATCTTCCGCATGTTCGAATCGAGCATTAATTCTTTAACCATCTTTCGACTTATTTCTCTCGTAACCTGCACACTGAGAACAATTCTTTCTATAATCAAGTTACAATCAAGTGTTGTTATCTTCCGTGTGGCCAGTCGATTATCTTTATAGTGTGTAACGACATAAATTTCGATAAAACCGTAACGCGTTGTCGTAATAAATTAGAACTCGATTCTTTTCCACGCTAATGCTAAACGAAATGTATTTTGAATCGCGCGTGATTGTGCAACATCAAGTCAATCCGTAAACTATTGACAACGTTAAAAGTACTAGAAAGAGAGAAAGAGAGATGGAGAGAGAAAGCGTATAGATACACGACGTTACAATAAAATGCAGGTTACAATCGTAATTTGCAAAAGTTTTGCATCATTTCAAATTCTAGCTTAAAATGAAATCGTCATGCTAACCAAATCTCGTTTTCTACTAGAAATTGGGTGACTAGCCTCGAGGACACGGCACGAGTATGCAAAGAGAAAGCAACAAAATTATAAATAAATATATATACATACATATAAATACAAATACATATATATGTATATATTATATATATAAATATATATTTGTAGCCATATATACGTATATATTTATATATATACACATATATATACATATATGTATATATATATATATATATATATATATATATATATACACATACAGCATACACACTTACGCGCAGCGGCGGCGAGGGCTGTTATTTTCAATCGTCGTGCGTAAAAAACAAAGCGCTGTGCGTGAGAAAGTTAGCTCGTAAGAAGCGAACGTAAATAAAGAAAAAATAAAAGGGAAAATATCGTGTACATTATTAGTTAGGCGAAAGAAATAAAAGTATAGGTTATTTTTGTGAAAGGTGGAACGAGCGAGGGGAGAGGGGGAGAACGGAGACCGAGAGTGGCAAGTGGGACCCAATGGCAGATTGTAATAAGAATTATGCAATAAGAGCCCGTTCTATTACCGCGTACATTCGCATCTGTCGATCAAATCCTGTAACGATAACGCATCCTCCGAGAGGCGTTTAACCAACAAAAAGAGAGAAAAGAAAGAAAGTTGATCGGATCTGACACACTCTACTTTTACGTTCCTTACGTTCCACCCAGTCGCTCCCCTTGTCGAATTGCTCGCTATGCACTCCGACTCGATTCCACCTTCGACAGAGAAAAAGCGAGGGATCCTGCACTCTTTTAAAGAATCAGCGTGGACGCCCGATCCTGTAAAAAGTATTTGAAGAAAGGCGCCTTAAGTATTAAGGCGTGTATATGACTTAATGTAGTACCGTACGTTGTCTAGGGCATATACCGAGTGGAGCTAGCCGAGTCTTAAACGAGTCGTCGCGTTAAATGAGAAACCAAAAGTATAGCATAAAAAGTGATAGATAGATAATTATTAATGTAATCTA